TGAAGGTCTGGAAAAACTATGCCCTATGAGGAACAACTTATAGAACTGGATATGTTTAGCCTGGAGAAGAGACAGTGAAGAGGTGATATGAAAGTTCTGTTTAAATATTTGAGGGGATGTCATATTGAGGAGGGAGCAAGCTTGTTTTCTGCTGCCCAGAGAATAGGACCTGGAACAATGTATGTTTATTTAAAGAGGTTCCTTCCTTATTTAAAGAGGTTCCTACAAGAAAAGAGATTCCACCTAAACATTAAGAGAAACTTCCTGACAGTAAGAGATGTTTGACAGTGGAGCGTATTCCCTTGGTGAGTGAAGGTCTTTAAATAAAGGCTAGATGGCCATCTGTCACAGGGAGGGCTTTGATTGAGAGTTCCTGCATGTCAGGGGAGGTTGGGCTGGATGGCCCTTATCGTCTCTTCCAACTCTATGATTCTATAAAAACATGATTGATCAAGCTCTCTAATACATAAAATAATGTTTCACAATATTAATAAGCAAGATTCATTTTTTCACTAAGATATTAATGCAAAAAACTGATTTAATAAAAACAAAACCTTTTAAAAAACTTGTTTTTCCTCCAATCCCTGAAAAATAGCAATTTGGTTTCTGTCAGTTTTCCTCTCAATTTCACTAGGCACAGATGACCTGACCCTCCTTCCTTGTATGATATAACCAGGGCTGGGGAGTAGTTGTGATTTTGGGGTTACTCCTTGTCTACTCCAGAGTAAGGTATTTTTTCTTAATGTTACTCCTAGTCCTATTATACCCCTCAATAAGAAAATATTCCATCATTGCCACATGACTCATCAAGCTCCTTTTTGGAATTCTGATTATATGGTAATCAGGAACAAGGAGCAACAAATATGTTTTCTTACTCCTTATTCCTACTTTACTACTACTCCACAGCCCTGGATATAACAGTGGCATCCATTTCCCCTAAGTAAATGAGAAAGAGGAGAAAATCCACAGAAAAGAAGACATGCCCAGATGAGAAAAGGACATTGCCTCCTGGGAATCCTTTTAACATCATCCTAAGCAGCAAAATTCTCTGG